AATTCTGGCTCTCAAAGACCTGTTACTGTGCCTTTAAAAAGTCCACCTCTACTCCACTCATTAATCTAACTTAGTAGCACCTGTCTGAGCTCTTTAAAGACACCTGTCCACCCCACAGTCAGTCAGATGCCAACTACTACCATGGGCAAGACCAAAGAGCTGTCAAAAGACACCAGAGACAAAATTGTGGACCTCCACAAGGCTGGAAAGGGCTACGGGGCAATTGCCAAGCAGCTTGGTGAAAATAGATCAACTGTTGGAGCAATTGTTAGAAAATGAAGGAGGCTAAAGACAACTATCAGTCTCCCTCAGACTGGGGCTCCATGCAAGATCTCACCTCGTGGGGTATCACTGATAAGAAAGGTGAGGAATCAGCCCAGAACTACAAGGGAGGAGCTGGTCAATGACATGAAGAGAGCTGGGACCACAGTTTCAAAGGTCACTGTCGGTAGAACACTACGCCGTCATGGTTTCAAATCATGCATTGCACGGAAGGTTCCCCTGCTCAAGTCATCACATGTCCAGGCCCGTCTGAAGTTTGCCAATGACCATCTGGATGATCCACAGGAGGCATGGGAGAAAGTCATGTGGTCAGATGAGACCAAAGTAGAACGTTTTGGTCTAAACTTCACTCGTGTGTTTGGAAGAAAAAGAAGGATGAGTTGCATCCCAAGAACACCATCCCTACTGTGAAGCATGGGGGTGGTAACATCATGCTTTGGGGGTGCTTTTCTGCGAAGGGGACAAGAAGACTGCACTGTATTATGGAGAGGATGAATGGGGCCATTTATTGTGAGATTTTGAGCAACAACCTCCTTCCCTCAGTCAGAGCATTGAAGATGGGTCGTGGCTGGGTCTTCCAACATGACAACGACCCAAAGCACACAGCCAGGATAACCAAGGAGTGGCTCCGTAAGAAGCATATCAAGGTTCTGGAGTGGCCTAGCCAGTCTCCAGACCTAAATCCAATAGAACATCTTTGGAGGGAGCTGAAACTCCGTGTTGCTCAGCGACAGCCCCGAAACCTGACAGATCTAGAGGAGATCTGTGTGAAGGAGGGGCCAAAATCCCTGTTGCAGTGCAAACCTGGTCAAGAACTGCAGGAAACGTTTGACCTTTGTGATTGCAAACAAAGGCTTCTGTACCAAATATTAACACTGATTTTCTCAGGTGTTCAAATACTTATGTTCAGCAGTGCAAGACAAATACATTCTTTACAAATTATACAATGTGATTTCCTGAATTGTTTTTTTCAATTCTCTCTCAGAGTGGGAATGCACCTACAATGTGAATGTCAGACCCCTCCATGATTTCTAAGTGGGAGAACTTGCAAAATCGCAGAGTGTTCAAATACTTCTGTTCCTCACTGTATATATTGCAAAGACCCCTTCCCGTGTGTGTATATGTGTATGTATATATATATATCCATTTCTAGATGCTATAACTTTCACGTAAACCAATTAATTTACATGTATTGGGATTTTTTTTTTTTTTTTAGCAATCACATGTTGCAGAATACATTTTGGTATAAATTTATGACTACATTTGATTAAAAAATTTTTTTTTTACTGGACATATTTTATAGCAAATTGTCAGCAATATTATTATTATTTTTTTTCAAAATTGTCGCTTTTTTTTTTTGTTTATAGCGCAAAAAAAAAAAAAAAACTGCACAGGTGATCAATACCACAGAAAGAAAGCTCTCTTTGTGGGGGAAAAAAAGGACATAAATTTCATTTGGGTGCAGCATTGCATGACCGCGCAATTGTCAGTTAAAGCAATGCAGCGCCATATCGCAAAAAATGCAGCAGTATAGATGGAGGTGGGTGACGCAGAAATCACAGGAGCCTGAACCCATCTTCATTGGAGGAAAGGATAGTGGGACTCAAGTAACATAACATGCAATGCATGCTTATAGATTATGGGGAAACCCACCCCCCAACCAACGTGTTAATTTAGCTATAAAGCAAGCCGTCCAATGTAAAGCAACAGGTTTGCTCTAATTCCATACATATAGTTAGGTCCATATATATTTGGACACAAGCACAATTTTAGTTTTTTTCAGGTATTTACCAAAACATATTCAAGCTAAAGTTATATAATGGATTTGGGCTGAAAGTGCACACACTTGAGGGTATGTACATCCAAATTGTAGGAAGGGTTTAGGAATTACAGCTCTTAAGAGTAACCATCCCCCCTTCTTCAAGGGACCAAAAGTAATTGGACCAAAAGTAATTGGACAACTGAATCAAAAGCTGTTTCATGACCAGGTGTGGGCTACTCCTTTGTTGTTTCTTCATCAATTAAGCAGGTAAAAGGTCTGGAGTTGTTTCTAATGCCGGCCATAGACTGTTTGAAAATCGGCCGATTTTCGCACTGTTAGTGGGTTAATTGGTGGCCGTTTTTTTTCGGCTTTTTTGCACTTTGAGATTATCGGTCATGTTGGAAAAGTTGCGGCTGATTTGGACGATCGGACGATTTTCTCGGCAATGATGGCCAAATCGGCCAATCATTTTAACAATAAAAAAATCTGCGCATGAGCTGTGACCTGCAAGGGACAGAAGTTATGGGGTGAACTTTATGATTTAGTCGGCCGATTTTTTTTTTTTAATCGGTGGTGGTAACGTCGGCCGAATGAATGACCGATTTTTCATTTATCGGTCGAAAAATCAGCCGCTGTTCGACCTGTCTTTGGTCCTGCATTAGTGTGGTATTTGTATTTGGAATCTATTGCTGTGAATCTACATCATGCATTCAAAGAAGCTGTCCATGCAAGTTAAACAGGCCATTGTAAGGCTTCAAAAATGAACCAACTCCATCAGAGAGATAGCAGCAACATTAGGAGTGGCCACATCAACAGTTTGGTACATTCTGAGGAAAGAAGAACGCACTGGTGAGCTCAGAAACATAAAAAGGCATGGACGTCCACGGAAAACAACAGTGGTGGATGATCACAGGATCCTCTCTATGGTAAAGAAAAACCCATTCACAACATCCAGACAAGTGAAGGACACTCTCCAGGAGGTGGGCGTATCATTGTCAAAGTCTACAATCAAGAGAAGACTTCACGAGAGCAAATACAGAGGGTTCACCACAAGGTGCAAACCATTCATAAGCCTGAAGAATAGAAAAGCCAGATTAGACTTTGCCCAAAAAAACATCTAAAAAAGCCGGACCAGTTCTGGAAAAGCATTCTTTGGATGGATGAAACTAAGATTAATCTGTACCAGAATGACGGGAAGAAAAAAGTGTGGAGAAGGCTTGGAACAGCTCATGATCCAAAGCACACAACGTCATCTGTAAAACATGGTGGAGGCAGTGTGATGGCATGGGCATACATGGCTTCCAGTGGCACTGGGTCATTGGTGTTTATTGATGATGTGACAGAAGACAGAAGCAGCCGGATGAATTCTGCATTGTTTACAGATATACTGTCAGCCCAGATTCAGCCAAATGCAGCAAAGGTGATTGGACGGCTCTTCACAGTACAGATGGACAATGATCCAAAACACACTGCAAAAGCAACCCAGGAGCTTTTGAAGGAAAAGTGGAATATTCTGCAATGGCCGAGTCAGTCACCTGATCTCAACCCAATTGAGCATGAATTTCACTTGCTGAAGGCAAAACTAAAGGTAGAAAGACCCACAAACAAAGAACAACTGAAGACAGCTGCAGGTTAGAGCCTGACAAAGCATCAGAAAGGAGGAAACCCAGTCTTTGGTAATGTCCATGGGCTCCAGACTTCAGGCAGTCATTGCCAGTAAACGATTCTCAACAAAATATTACAAATGAACATTTTATTTATGATTATATTTATTTGTCCAATTACATTTGGTCCCTTCAAAAAAAGGGGGTGGCTACTCTTAAGAGCTGTAATTCCTAAACCCTTCCTCCAATTTGGATGTACATACCCTCAAATTAAAACCGAGAGAGTGCACTTTCAGCCCATATCCATTATAAAATATAGCTTGAATATGTTTTGGTAAATACCTGGAAAAAAAAAAAAAAAAAAACTACAATTGTGCCTGTGTCCAAATATATATGGACCTAACTGTATACAGTACTTCATCTGACACTGGCAGCCAAACCACTACTTTTACTCAGTGTGGCTGAATGTAGTGGAAAGTCTAGTCGGTGCTGTTGTGGAGGTCTGCATTAAAGTGAACCTATTGTGTTGCTTGAATAGGTGAAGCACAGATTTACTTTAAAGGAAAGCTTACAGGATAGCAATGTGAGAGCTAACATTACCATCTTGCTCATAAAAGATAAAAACCCTGGCCCTATTATCTTTATCCTTGCCTCACTATACATACTGGTTCTCACACAACTAGAAACAAGTATGTCAACATCCTGACAAACTAGATTTTGGGACCCAGGTACCAGAGGGAAGGTCTTTATGTTTTTTTTTATTACTAGGATTGCACCCTCACCTCAGGGTGTAAGGGGGAAGGGTTAGAATTTTTTTTTTTTTTAATTATTATTATTTTAGTCTGACTTCCTGTCATTGTGACAATTGGCTTCCTCTCATTTTGCCCCAATTGATATGAATGGGATGAATTTTACAGAACACCGGTCTGTTTATATCCGACCACCCATAGAAGAGTGTGGGCTGTGTCTACTCTGCATAAGCAGAGTGGATATGGACCTGTCATCATCCTCCTCCTCAGCGGGGATCAGTGGACAGATCCCCTGCTGAGCAAGCAGATTGCAGATGGAGTCCGCCCCATGTGAAAGGGGTATTATTGTACAAGAGACAGTGGGGGGGGGGGGGTGTCTGGGTTCCTACTATCACAGGGAAGTGAGGTAGGGAGGAGGAGCCGCCAGGCTGATAGTGATGATGATAGTAAAAGCAGGGTCACTTACAGGGAGACTCGCCAGCCACCATTACTCACCTAGACAATGTTTGTTTTTTTCTTTTTATTAAAGGTTTTGCAATAGTACATGTAAAAATTAAACACAGAACATAAAGTACAGAGAGAAGTTTCCTGTCACAAAGTGGGCTAACAGTCCAATGTTTCAATGGCCTTTCCTTGAATGTCTGGTCTGTTGGGGTTGTGTTTCAGTAGCCAGTCCGCCAGCCAGGTCTGTGGAAATAATAATAAGTTGATCAGTAATTTGACAAGTGCTTTACCCGCAACACAAAAATACACTTCCATTAAGAGACAAATGTGTTCACTTCATCTCTTTAATGAAGAGCTTCTAGTAAATATTGCAAAGTTTCTCTATTTGACAAAGATATGTAATTTAAAAGGAGAAGTATGGCTAAAGCTCTTTTGGCTATACTGCTCATGTGGGTCACAGAGGTGCATTTAGATTTGCACTCCTATGATCCATATTCAGCAGAGGGTGGGCTAAAGCCCATTGTTGGCTGACGTGACAGAGCTTGTCCAGGCTTTGGAAGGTTCCCAGACCATATTGTTGGGATCTATCTAAATGGCTAACCGGCAGCTGGCTCAGCCTCACGGCGCGCTGCTCCAGTCCCCTCCAGATCCAGCACTGTCACGGAACTTGCAGTTGGCCAATTGGTGCCAACTGCCGATTCTGCTTGGGGGCTTTTTTTTTTTTTTAAACTGTTCCCAGGCAGGGTACCTATGAACATTAAAATAGGGTTTGCTTGGGGGGGGGGGGGGTTAAAGGATAAGTTCACCTTTGGGAACATGTAACATGTTCCCACAGCCGCTGCCTAACGCCTCCCCCCTTTGACAGGTAGTACGGAGAGAAGTTTCCCTGTACTATCTGTCAAATTTGAAAACAGCGTAGCCATGCGGGCCTCTGCCCACGTGGCCGTGTCATTCATTCACGTACTTTCATGAATGAATGAACTGCAAGTCCCAACAGCCTTAGCGACTGTCGGCTTGTAGTTTTCAATGAACTACCACGGCGCTGTGGAGCTCCATGGTAGTTCATTTTGGCTTCCTGTCAGAATATCTGCTTGCTCATACATCCTGTACGGCAAGCAGATATTCTGACAGGTCTGCAGGAGACCTGCATGGTATCAGCAATCTACTGATTGCTGGTGCAATGCTTTCCAGACTCCTGTATTCAAAAAATTATAAAAATGCACATAATTTATCCTTCAAAAAAAAATGTGCATTTATTATTTTTGTCTAAAACGGTAAACCTATCCTTTAAAGAGAAATTGTACTTCCTGTGTCTGCAAGTACAGCTAATTGTAGTAAATGTCAGCATTCTTTGATCTATGTACTAATCCAGACACATCTTTTTATCACATAAGCGAGAATTACATGGACAAAATATTCCATGTGGCCAAAAATGGTAAATTAAAGTGCCTAACCATAATATTCTTAAAAATGTCCCCTCCCCCCTCTGGCTACTTATGCTGCCAACACTAGGTAAAAAAAAAAAAGAAAAGTATACTTGCTTTTATTTTGGCCTGCTCTGGTCTGGTCACATGATTATGCAGCTCTGTCTCCCCTGTGTCAGGGAGCTCTGGACAATAGCTAGGAATACCTGAATCAGTGACATCACCCATTGGCTCCCAGAGCTCCCTCTTCTCTTCTGCAACCAGATCCTTACTGACACAGGTGAGCTGCAGCTGCGGGATAACGTGACTGGACCAGAGCGAGCTGAAAAAGATAAGTAGCAGGAGAGTGGTGGGGACATTTTTTAAGAACAGTTATGGTTTTGCAGGAATTCAATTTTAAGAAATAAGAAAAGATTGTATGCACAACATTTACGCACCAGGGGATCGGCTGGCTTCTGCTTGCAGAGTTCCGTGAGTCCGGTAAGCAAAGTTGGGTTCACAAAAAGGCTCAAATAATCACTTGCAGCGTTTCCCGTAGGAACAGGTTCAATGGTCACTGAAAAGTGAAAGTCATCATCACCAACCCAGAAAGGCAGTATAATAAGGTCCACTCAAGTTCCTCCACACCAAATCATCAAACCAGGTCTATATGGAGCTGGCTTTGTACACAGGGGCACAGTCATGCTGGAAGAGGGTATTCCCGCGTCTGTCACTACAAGTCTGACAGCGCACAATTATCTAAAATGTCTTTGTGTTCTGTAGCAATAACAATACCTTTCACTAGAAACATCTGAAGTCAATATTTTGGAGCACTGTTCTCATACTCTTTAATATATAGATAGGTCTGATGGTCAGCTGTCTACAAACTTTTGATCAGATGAGGGTACCACACATTAAAGGCCCCATGTACACGGGACACCTCTGAACGATGGAAACTGACTGCTGGAAAACGTAGGTTAAAAAATCGTTTGTTTAGCCGCTTTTGCATACCGCGTTTATGTGCGTTTGCGTTTAGAAGCGTTTTTTTAAAGATAAGCACAGGAGAACCTCCCAAGTGCCCAGAATGCACTGAAAAGTGGTAAATTATTAACTATTTCAGACTGTTTCAGAGAAGATACAGAGAGTAGAAGCAGAGACAGCAGTATGTGTTGAGATTAGCTTAGGTGTGAGTTGCTCATTAACATTTCTTTTGTTTCCAAGGGTGGGAAAGGTGTCTGGTGGAGGGAGTCATTAAGGTCACCTGGCAGGGGTCTTCATGAGGAATTTGAGGTGTGAATGGTCATTAACATACAGGAAGTTGAAAATAAGTGAGCGCTCAATCAACACAAGGGAATAGCGACCATGCACCAAAGGCACCATATAAGACCTTTCAGGTAAACAGTAATATACTAAAAGGGTGCAGCGCTGGTAAAAATCACAAATATAATGTATATATGCTAAATTCATATATAGATAATTATTCATCAATAAGGTGACGCATTATGCAACTGGTTCTTTCTCTGAAGATGTGCTTGGCACGTAACACGTAAGGAGGAGCCTACGCACGCCGCCTTGACGTCACGCCGTCGGAGCATCGTGGAGCTCCGGCGGCCACTACATCTGACAGGACGGTTAGTCTGTCTGTTTTTTCGTGTGCTAGCTTTTGCCATTTTACTGGATGCATCCTGCCTATCTTATTAAATACCTTTTAATAAATACTTTTTAACTATACTTCACTATGGGCATTTTTTCTTGATCCCTTGTGAGGAGCATCTTTTCTCTCAGATATTGTTGGTGTACAGTGGAGGAGCAGTGATCATTTTCTGCCATCTAGTGGATTTCTTCTGCCTAGCTCTGTATCATCGTGTGGACCTTCATTGATCAAGGGAATACATCTACCCTCTCCATGCTGATGACTACTTTATGAACTCCATCCTTACTACACTGCACTTTTTATGTGCACTTTGGTTAGTGTGCATTGTTACCCTAGGTCACCACAATTGGGACTTTTTTTGATTACTTTTCATTGTGTCACATTTAATTTCTAGCGCTGCACTTTAATTTTATTTTCATGTGAGGATTTTTTTGGTTTTGGTGTGCTTCAGCTGCTTGTCTATTGAAAGCGCTCACTTTTTTGCTCTCTGTTGTATGCTATTGGAGTATGGATTATGAAGCAGTGGAGGCTACATGACCAGATCTGACCAGACCTATGTGAGGGCGTCTGATGCGTTTTTATGATATACAAATGCGCATAAAGATTGCGTATCTGGTGAGTGCGCAGTCTTTACCTTATTTTCTCACCTTTTTCACGTTTCCGGTTATTGGAATCGCCTGAAGATCATCAGCGATCTTGTTCACATTTTTTGGACTCATTTAGATTGGTTATAGATCTTTCACGATATTCGCCACCTAATATAGTGGCATATATGCTTGCACAATGTCACCTTACTTATCTATTTATATACAAGGCTCATTAATTTGTGGACATCTATGCGTCCGTCTGTGATTTCAACCACACTGTCACCTTTTGGTATGCTCAAAATTGTATTTATTTATTTTATTTTTTGTTTTGCAATATTAATCACAGATTGTAGTTTACATATGAATTTGCACAATATCACCTTATTGATGATTAAATCTATAAATGAATTTAGCATTCTATACATTTATGGCCATTTGTGATTTTTACCAGCGCTGCACCCTTTTAGTATATTACAATGGTCATTAAAAGGTCATATCTTTTGTTTCCAAGGGTGGGAGAGGTCTGTGAACTCTGTGAATTGGTCATTACAATGTGTGACCAGCTTGGTAGGAACATCCAAACAGTGTTTTGTCCATCTGAGTACCTTGGAAATGCTTTGCATGCATTTTTCATGATGAAAAAAAAGGCTCAGGACAGCATCGGGAACCGGAAGAGTTAAAAAAAAGAATTTTTCAGATGCAAACGCTTATAAACGCAATTTTTCATGTTTACAAGCATTTTGTGTTTGAAACGCTGATAAAATTGACTGCTGAACGCAAGTTTTCTCTGTTAAAAAAAAAGACTGTAAACTCAAATGCCTGTAAACGAAGATGTGTACATGGACACATAGGAAAACATTAGGGAGAGTTTGCAGGGGCTGCTGGAAAAAAACGCTGAACAGCTCCTAAAACGAGTTTGTCAGCTGCAGTGTACATGAGCCCTAATAGGCTATATGCAAATCTTGGTTCTACTCCCCTCCCCTCTTTTTAAACTCAAGCTCCTAATATTGACAATATTACTGGAGTATGAAAGGCTATTAATTTAACTGTTGTAAGGAAGGTCCAGTATGGCAGAGCAAAAAAAAAGCAGTGCGGGCCAATACACACCACATGCATACTATGGTGCCTAGTGTTGACTGCATGGCAGGTGTGCACTAGCACACACATGCATTGAAAAGCAGGCCTTGCTATATGTTTGCAAGTATGTGTGTGCGCACAGTCAGCACTGGTGTTGGTGCCAAAAGCAACTTATACAGACTGGAGCATTATGCAATAAGTCAATGCAAAGATTGAGCATGGGCTTCATTCACTTTTTGAGTTCACTTTGCAGAAGTAAGACCAAATATGATAGATAGTTGTTATGGGTTAGCTTATCACCAGGCCACTTAAAGCGCAGTGGCTAAATGGTTCCAGACTTCTACTTGGCAGTACTTGGGAAGCGTTTGGATTTGAACCAACCACAAAAAAGTCTGGAAGTTTGTATTTATCTCTGTTGCATTCTTTCCTCTGGGTACTTTTCCTCCCGCTAAAGACATGGGAGGTGAATTGCTCCTGTCTAAATTGTCCCTAGTATGTGTTCATGAATGTGAGTTAGGACCTTAGTTGTACCACCCCTTGAGGGGTGAGGGACTGATGTTGAATGTACAATATATGTGAAATTACACTGCGATTACTCCCCCCAAGCTGAAGTCGCACTGCACTTATAATAAATTTCATTTCAAATCCATTGTGGTGGTGTATAGAGCAAAAACATGTTTTTTTAGTTTTGGACAGAGCGGAGAAGGATTAGAACACCTGTCAGTTTGTATTGCTGTCTGTGCCCCGGTTAGGGAGCTTCACCCTCTCTATTTGTCCTGCTTATCATTGAAAGTAAAATAAAATCCCAAATGTTGGGCTGTCCCTAGAAAAGTAATAGAGGGAAAGCTTCCAATGGGGTCACCAGTTTTGTATCTCCAAGGGATTCCCTAATTTGCAGAGATTTCCTCCCACTTCCCGTTTTGCTATGGGACAGGAAGTGAAGTCTGTGCAATGGGACACAGATTATTATTATACAGGATTTATATGGCGCCAACAGTTTGCTCAGCACTTTACAATATAATGGGAGACAATACAGTTCAATGCAAGAGGGATAGGAGGGCCCTGCTCCTTGGAGCTTACAATCTAAGAGGGAGGGGCTAGTGGTATAAATAGAATAACTGTGGAGGATGGACTTGTAGAAGGAATAGCGGAAGGCAGGTTAGGCTTCCCTGAAGAGATAGGTGTTCAGAGATCGCCTAAAAGTGGGTAGATTTGGCGATCGTGGGTAGAGAGTTCCTCAGGATGGGGGAGGCTCTGGAGACAAGCATGGGAGGAGGGGATAAGAGAGCAAAAAAAAAAAAATCTGACAGGTTATAACCCTCCCTTTACTCTGTCCATAATGGATAAAAAAAAGTTTCTACTGCAGAGCCCAACTCTGGGATGCTGTTAAATTTACCCATGTAATGGAGACATCTCTGCTATGCGAGGATTAAATGCTTGTTTGGTAGGTGGAAAGGATCGCCAGACAGAGAAATGAAGTGGCTTCAGGGAACCTATCACACAGTGAGGTGAGAATGTGGGAACGATGAAAGAAAGTATTTGTATTCCTTCACCCTCTAGCCAAAGGAGCATGTACCCCATGCAATTTTTTTTTGGGGGGGGGGGGGGGGGGGGGGGGGGGGGGATGGGCGACATTGCTTGGGTACATTTTAAGCTGAAGTTCAATCTGCTCATATTTTGCCTTCCCTGGTCCCCCGCCATCAACCCACCAAAAATCTTTGTTTTCATTACATACCTTATTTTTTGCTCAGTGACCCTATCACTAGGTCTGTGTACATTATGCAATGCAGTCAAATCATGGCTGGTGGGGGGAGGCAGCAGGGTGCTCCATGTAGATAAAGAAAACAGAAAGCAGTGGTAACACCTATAGGTGAGGCCGAGTTTGAAAAATAATTGAAATCCAATTAATGAAAGAAGTGGACCAGGGACAGTTAGGCTAGGCAGGAAAAGGCTGCATGATGCTGGATGTCCTCTAGCCAGGGAATGAGGAAGGCTCTAACTTGCTGCAGCTTCTGATGCACACTATGAGAAGCTCACATCGTGCATTAAAATCAGAGTAAGCAATTTCAGTACAGAAGACGTGTACCACTGCAGGACAGAAGAGAGAAGCCTGGCGTTCAGCTTTATCAGCAGTCCAGAGTGGGAATTTCAGAATACTTTGTGGAAAAACAGTGTGTGTGTTTAAAAATGTAAAGGTAAAAGGGTTTGTTGTTGCACTCTCTGCATTAAGGTAAAAAAACCCAAAAAACTTTCAATATAGTTACATAGTTAGTTTGGCTGAGAAAAAGACATAAATCCATCCAGTGCAACCATTACAAAAAAAAAAAAAAAAGTTATAATCCTACACCCACAGGTGATCCAGAGGAAGGCCAAAAAACCCAGCAAAGCACGATCCAATTTGCTCCTGCAGGGAGCCGGTTCACATATATGCGAATTGGATGCATTTTGAACCACATCCAATTTGCATGATGTGAAATAACCGCTTTATATTAAGCCTGTTACATAGTTAGTCTGGCTGAAAAAAAAAAAAAGACAAAAGTCCATCCAGTTCAACCATAAAGTTATAATCCTACACCCACAGTTGATCCAGAGGAAGGCAAAAACCCAGCAAAACATAATCGAATGTGCTCCTGCACGGGAAAAAATTCCTTCCTATCCCCCCGAGAGGCAATCAGATATTCCCTGGATCAACTTTACCTATAAATGTTATATCCAGTTATATTCTGTGTATCCAAGAAAGAATCCAGGACTTTCCTACAGCAATCCACTGAGCTGGCCAGAACCAAATCTTGAGAGAGTCTATTCCACTGTGAAGAAAACTTTCCGTGTTTGGAGATTACATTTCTTTTCCTCCAGACATAAAGAGCGCCCCCTTGTCTTCCGTGATGACCTCAGGGTGAATATCTCTACTCTCAATGTCAGCTCCCACCCAGCGCCCCCCAAAAATACATACCTAAACCTGACCTTGATCAAGCCCTGTGCCCCTCTGCAGCAGCTCTGCTCTTCCCCCTCTCTCTTGCAGGCGGCTCAGCAACAGTAGCAGCCATTGGCTCCTACTACTGTCAATCAAATCCTGCAAGTGGGGAGTGGGCACTGTGTGTGTCAATAGGTGAACACAGTTTGGCTCAGGATCAAGCCTGCACGAGTGCCCCTGTAGGAAGCAACTTACTATGGGGGCACTCGGAAAACAGGAGGAGCCTGGAGCCATGGGAGGGGGACCCCAGAAGAGGAGGATTGGGACTGCTCTGTGCAAAATCATTACACAGAGCAGATAAGCATTACATGTTTACTGTTTTAGAAAAAAAAAACTGTTATCACATGCCGCCCAGCCACTGTATAAATACGGCGGCAGGGCGGCATGGCTGGGCAAAAGCACGTTTTAAAACAGGTAGGGGGCACGCGCGAGGCACGCCGCCGCCCTACCTGTCCCGCCGATCACAGCCGCAGATGTCAGTTTCCGGGTCACAGCCGGTCGTTACCGGCAGCTATGTCCCGGCGATCGGCAGCAATCGCTGACAGAGAGCACAGCTGCTCTGAAAAATAAACTTAACCCCTTCCTCCCCAGTGCCATTAGTACAGTGTCAGTGTTTTTTTTTTTGCACTGATCACTGTATTGGTGTCACTGGGGATGTCAGTGACCCAAGTCAGTACCTCCCCAGTGTCAGAATGTCCGCCGCAGTCCCGCCATAAGTCGCTGATCGCCGCCATTATTAGTATAAAAAAAAAACCCTAAAAATCCCAGTATCTTTCCTGCCATTTGTAAACGCTATAACTTTCACGTAAACCAATTAATTTACACGTATTGGTTTTTTTTTTAGCAAAGACATGTCGCAGAATGCATTTTGGCAGAAATTTATGACTAAATTTGATTTTTAAATTTTTTTTTTACTGGACATGTTTTATAGCAAAAAGTCCAAAATATTGTTTTTTTTTTCTCAAAATTGTCAGCCTTTTTTTTATAGCGCAAAAAATAAAAAAAAAAAAAAACGCACAGGCGATCAAATACCACCAAAAGAAGGCTCAATTTGTGGGAAAAAAAGGATGTAAATTTCATTTATGTACCGTATTGCATGACCGCGCAATTGTCCATTAAACTAGCGCAGCACTGTATAGCAAAAAAATGGGGTAAATTGCAGTATTTATACCATAGATTGTAGACGCTATAACTGTCACACAAAGCAATCAATATACACTTATTGGGATTTTTTTTACCAAAAACATGGAGCAGAATACATTTTGGCTTAAATTTATAACCAACTTTGAGTTTACTATATATTTTTTATAGCTGAAAGTAAAAAATATTGTTTTTCTTCAAAAGTGTTGGCCTTTTTTTGTTTATAGCGTGAAAAATAAAAAGCGCACAGGTGATCAAATACTACTGAAAGAAAGCTCTATTTGTGTGAAAAAAAGGACGTAAATTTCGTTTGGGTGCAGCATTGCATGACCGCGCAATTATCAGTTGAATTAGTGCAGCGCCGAGTAGCAAAAAGAGGCGTGGTCATTAAGGGGGGTAAATCCTCAGGAGGTCAAGTGGTTACATGCTTACCAGCTGGAAAATATACTGATCTCAATCCAACATGAGCTCTATCACATTGGCCGTGCAGCATTAAAGCAATAGGTTAGTCACCTTCATTGGACTCATCTGATGGAGCCGACTAAACCCCAAAAAGTTTGTGTCATAAGTACCTTCCTCTGGTTGGTGTCTCTATGAACTTTTAAGGGGTGTTGCTTAGCAACAGACTTCTGATCTATACATTGGTGTGCTACATGCCACTGCACCTACCGTCTGGAAACATGAAGCGGATCTCTTGTTCGGCTGAAGTGAAGCAATAGCTGCCATGAACAGCGTTGCGGAGATCGTCAGTTCCGTAGATGGCCCTCAGACTGGAGAGATATGGATATTTTAGTTTGAATGATCAGTGAAGTTTTTCAGCAAAAGAAAGCAATAATGGGGCTGTGATGATAATGAATAAGAGATTAAAAATAAAATACACATACCTATAAAAGTAATTCTTAGATTGCAGTAATCCATTTCACAGAAGATCAACTTTTAAAGCAGATGTAAACCCCGCCTGGATGACGTTGAATTACTAAAGCACTGCGTATTGTAGACAAAGGCCTCACCTTTACCGTATTGGCATCCTTTTTTACATCTCAGTGCTGCTGATCTCCTCTGGACTCCTCCAGCCACTTCCTGCACTAGCTCCAGTGTTAGCTGCACATCATTCTGGAACTGGTAATGACATGGGTGGATCATGTCTGCACAATGAAGTGTCCAGCAGAGGGATATGCGACAGGGTGACAACATAGCAGTACAGTTTGGCAACACCTTTACAGAGTCACAATCATCTGTTCCGGTCTTCCAATTCTGCTTCCACATTGTCACCCTATCACAGATATCTGATGGAGGCTACAAGTGGCCATTTAAACACACATTATATGTATGGTCTACTGTTGACACCATCAGGAAACTTTCTCTGAGCAATACCGTGCAGCCATTGCTGCTGTGCATGTAGACATGAAGTGGTGGCAAAGAGGATGCAAGAAAACCCTGTCCAACCTTTAGTTCTGCCAAGAACTGAGGGTACCACGATTCTTAACCACTTTCCAACCGCCCTATAGCAGAACTATCTCTAAAGAGCGGCAGGGCTGTGCAAAATCATGCATATATACGTGATCTTGCATTTTCAGGTAGGGGGCGCCATTGGTGGCTACAGCTGTTGATCACTGGGTCCAGGGACAGTCCTAAGACTTTGACTCCAACTAAACGGGATGGTCCTAAGACCTTTATTCCAACGAAACGGGACGGTGCTAAGACCTTGATTCCAACTAAACGGGACGGTGCTAAGACCTTGATTCCAACTAAACGGGACGGTCCTAAGGCCTTGATTCCAACGAAACGGGACGGTCCTAAGACCTTGATTCCAACTAAATGGGACGGTCCTAAGACCTTGATTCCAACGAAACGGGACGGTCCTAAGACTTTGATTCCAACGAAACGGGACGGTCCTAATACCTTGATTCCAACTAAACGGGACGGTCCTAATACCTTGATTCCAACGAAACGGGACGGTCCTAATACCTTAATTCCAACTAAACGGGAAGGTCCTAAGACCTTGATTCCAACTAAATGGGACAGTCCTAAGACCTTGCTTCCAACTAAACGGGATGGACCTAAGACCTTGCTTCCAACTAAACGGGAAGGTCCTAAGACCTTGATTCCAACTAAACGACACGGTCCTAAGACCTTGCTTCCAACTAAACGGGAAGGTCCTAAGACCTTGATTCCAACTAAACGACACGGTCCTAAGACCTTGATTCCAACTAAACGGGACGGTCCTAAGACCCTAATTCCAACTAAACGGGATGGTCCTAAGACCCTGATTCCAACTAAACGGGACAGTCCTAAGACCCTGATTTCAACTAAACGGGACGGTCCTATGACCTTGATGTTCTCTGTATAGTGTACTTTATGGCCACCACCTACCCCAAGATTTATATATTTTGTTGGGTTACGGATCATGTACAAACTTTACCATTTCTGTAGGGTTATACTGGTTTGTAGATCCAATTGGCACGAATGCTCCTGCATTGTTCGGGGTATGCACGTTTTTTGCTTTTCTTTCTTTGTTATGGTACTTCTGTATAAATCTACAATGTACTAGTAATGCATTAAGCTGATTTGGCTTGATGTCTCTAGCCTTTGTTCATTTAACATCCCACTTTGTGAATGTACATAGGTCTTTGTTTGTATATCTATATTTTTAATAAACACGTAAAAAAAAAAAAAAGGAGGTTGCAATCAACAGCACTGAAAGTAACAATGAATGGAATAAAAGGAAATACAAGGATTTTCTAAAATAAAAGAAATGGAAATTGTTTATGATACACAGGGTGAGATCTACTAAAACCAGTGCACACAGAATCTGGTGCAGCTCTGCAGAGAAACCATTCAGCTTCCAGGTTTTATTGTCAAAGATAAATTGAACAAGCTGAAGTCAGACGCTGATTGGCTCCCATGCACAGTTTTAGTAAATCTCCCCCACAGTGCTTTAGCAAACTAAATGTCATCCATTTAAGGTTTTCATCTATTTTAAATAGATTTTTCAAAAAGAACGATTCCACACCTATGCAATATTTAGATCTGTGACCTAAACAACTTTTAATGATAAGATTTTGGTTACAAGACAATAGCTCAGCGTTTGTTTATACACGCCAGTCTGGAGAGCATCACATAGCAGTAAGTATCTGGAAGTATTTACTGAGCATCAGCAGAGTAAAGCCCATCATCCCCCTTAAAGTAAAACTCCGCAGCAATTTATACCGTATCAGAATACAAAATATTTATATAAACTAATGCATATTTAACTGACAAAAAAAGGGGTAAAAAAATCTTTAAAATATTGACCAGACTATAAAGAAACAAAATATGTACTAAACCGCTGTACATTCACCACTATACATTCCCTTTAATGCTTTTGTTGCCAGTGACGTAACGCTTACATCAGTATGAGGTTTTAAAACACACTCCTGGGTGCTATAGGGTGTGCTTACACTGGACACGCCGATTGTCAGCTTTCAGGTGAACGTGATCTGAGCATTTCCATACAATTCCGAAAGTGATTGCCTCCGGCTTCCACCCAGCCATGCATCCCAGGCTCCACTGTCCCACCTGTAGGCCTGGGACTGGCATGATGGGTGTTGCTGGACAAAGCAGAGGGAGACCAGTGAGCATCCATCAGCTGATCTCCCCTCTGGTGAGCAAACATGGAAGTGATGTGTATTGTGTCACTTTTGGGTTCAGCACTATCATTCTGTGGCTGGGAAAGAAGCTAATCAAGCATGATTTACACTTGATGGTGGTACAAAGGTGACATTAGTAGTCTAATTGACCCTTGATGTCTCTTTAAAGAGGACCTGTTCCAAGCAATATCGCATGGGAGGGGGGGGGGGGCTCTAGCAATCAGATCATCCCATACATAAAATGTATATATGACAGTGGCAGTGCAGGGTCGGGTGGCCATTTATAAACTGCCTCCCCACCCCCTGCTTGTGCACGCTCCCTGGGAGCGCGCAGCACCGCGATCCGGTGCCCGCTGTGTCCTCTGGACACAGTGGAACACCGATCGTCGGACGGGACCTCTGTGCGAGGTCCCGATCATGTGATCACTGATTGGCCAATCAGTGATCACATGCAGAGTAGTAAGCAAGATGTCACTTGTGACATCATTGCTTACTACGTGTGAAATCTGTGAATGATCACAGAGGTCACATGATACAAGGCTATTCACAGCCTTGTACCATGTGACAAACTGTGACCAATAACAGCTCACACAGTAGTTCTCAATGGCTGCAAGAATGCAGCTAGAGAGAAGGAGAAATGATTGCTTTTACAGCCTTTATGGGTGTAAAAAGCAATCAGTGTAAAAAAAAAAATATTCATCACCCCCCACAAGTAGTACAGTGTCACCATGGTGACACTGTACTGCTAGGGTGACAGTATGTAGTTTATTTGCAAATTATGGTGGAAAATAAGTATTTGGTCAATATGAAAAGTTCATCTCAATACTTTGTTATATATCCTTTGTTGGCAATGACAGAGGTCAGACGTTTCCTGTACGTCTTCACAAGGTTGGCACACACTGTTGCTGGTATGTTGGCCCATCCTCCATGCAGATCTCCTCTAGAGCAGTGATGTTTTGGGGCTGTCGCTGGGCAACATGGACTTTCAACTCCCTCCAAAGGTTTTCTATGGGGTTGAGATCTGGAGACTGGCTAGGCCACTCCAGGACCTTGAAATGCTTCTTACGAAGCCACTCCTTTGTTGCCCGGGCGGTATGTTTGGGATCATTGTCATGTTGGAAGACCCAGCCACGTTTCATCTTCAATGCCCTTGCTGATGGAAGGAGGTTTGCACTCAAAATCTCACGATACATGGCCCCATTCATTCTGTCCTGTACATGGATCAGTCGTCCTAGTCCCTTTGCAGAGAAACAGCCCCAAAGCATGATGTTGCCACCCCCATGCTTCACAGTAGGTATGGTGTTCTTTGGACGCAACTCAGCATTCTCTCTCCTCCAAACACGACGAGTTGTGTTTCTACCAAATAGTTCTATTTTGGTTTCATCTGACCATATGACATTCTCCCAATCCTCTTCTGGATCATCCAAATGCTCTCTAGCAAACCTCTGACGGGCCGGACATGTACTGGCTTAAGCAGAGGGACACGTCTGGCACTGCAGGATCTGAGTCCCTGGCGGCGTAGTGTGTTACTGATGGTAGCCTTTGTTACGTTGGTCCCAGCTCTCTGCAGGTCATTCACTAGGTCCCCCCGTGTGGTCCTGGGATTTTTTGCTCACCGTTCTTGTGATCATTTTGACCTCACGGGGTGAGATCTTGCGTGGAGCCCCAGATCAAGAGAGATTATCAGTGGTCTTGTATGTCTTCCATTTTCTAATTATTGCTCCCACAGTTGATTTGTTCACACCAATCTGCTTGCCTATTGCAGATTCAGTCTTCGCAGCCTGGTGCAGGTCTACAATTTTGTTTCTGGTGTCCTTCGACAGCTCTTTGGTCTTCACCATAGTGGAGTTTGGAGTGTGACTGTTGGAGGTTGTGGACAGGTGTCTTTTATACTGATAACAAGTTCAAACAGGTGCCATTGATACAGGTAATGAGTGCAGGACAGAGGAGCCTCCTAAAGAAGAAGGTACAGGTCTGTGAGAGCCAGAAATCTTGCTTGTTTGTAGGTGACCAAATACTTATTTTCCACCATAATTTGCAAATAAATTCTTTCCAAATCAGCCAATGTGATTGTCTGGATTTGTTTTCTCATTTTGTCTCTCATAGTTGAGGTCTACCTATGATGCCAATTACAGGCCTCTCTCATCTTTTTAAGTGGGAGAACTTGCACAATTGGTGGCTGACTAAATACTTTTTTGCCCCACTGTACTTGTGAATAACTGTCTGACCTCAATAATCAGTCTGACCTCAGTAATAGAAAAAAACTCTGGGTTCCCAAAGAGGACCCATCCAGGGGCCCCTTTACCCCCTCCCCTTAGGGTCCCCTGTGTGTATTTTATTATTATTTGTAATACTAAGCTTTTTTTTTTTTTTTAGAGGAAATGGATCACATTCAGGGTCCTTTACACATCTGCAGACAATGAAACGATGAACGGATGTCATCAGCAACACTGACATAATAATGCATCATAGCACTTTGAGGACAAGACACCATAGTAGTGGGTGCACTCAGGGAGTCATTGCACAACACCCTGCACTTATGGTATGTCCTAGTGTAAATCGACCTGGTGGGCATCTAGGGGGTATCTAGGGGCAGGAATGAAGTACCGTGGGAGATAGTTCCAAATTGCAGTTGAGTGTTGCAGCAAAAGCTGCATTTTTGTGTTTATTACCTCTGTGAAAACCTTGTATCAAAAAAAAAAAGTTGGCCCAGAGTTGATCTTTAAATGATTTGAATGCCCCCTTTATGCATTTCTCTGCAGATATTTACAACCTGAGAATAAAGATAACTATGTATACTTACATTACCAGGCAATGGGGGAGATTTACAAAAACTGGAGAACTCAGAATCTGGTGCAGCTGTGCATGGTGACCAATCAGCTTCTAACTTCATCTTGTTCAATGAAGCTTTGGCAGTAAAATCTGGAAGCTGATTGGTTTTATGCAGAGCTGCACCAGATTTTGCACTCTCCACTTTTAGTAAATAACCTTCAATGAATACAGCCATACGGCGTCCTTACCTGTCTGGGTGAGTTTCTTTAGCTTTCAAGCTATTTGAAGGCCCCATCAGTTCCGTCCAGGTGGCGATGGCGTTATGTCTGGCCAGTTCCAGGGCAATGATGGGTCCTGAGCTCATGTATGCTGTCAGGCTGGGGAAGAACATCTTGCCATATTGTTCCGAATAAAAGTCGCTACATTGCTCAGGGCTCAGATGGACTTTTCTCTTCTGTTAAAACATTATCCCAAATTAATTTTATGGACCTTACTGCATAAGGGGTTTGGAAAGGTGGTGGAGGAAAAACAGCAGCTCACTGGTCTTCCCAGTAAATGGGTATGCAGGGATGGAGCTGTTCAGCACAAGTCTGATCATCGAAGGACAGGCAGGCTGTTCTCCCAGCACAGCCAGAAAACTGACCACACTGAGATGGGTGTGCTCTCATGCCTAGTGTGGTGAGTTTGAAATAGGAAAGCAGAAGGACTGGCAGAAACAACCAGGTATTTCATACAAAGGTAACATTACAAAGAGAACAGGATACTTTTAACCACTTCCCACCCGTAGGGCATCACATGACATCCTTGGGTTGAAGTGGTTATACTGCAATGATGCCTGCACCTGCAGGCATCATCCCAGTGTCAACATTTGCAGGAGGCGAGTCCCTGTTAGGCAGAATCAGGGGCGGACTGACTATTTGGAAACTCGGGCACTGCCTGAGGTCCCGGGGTCAGTAGGGGGCCCCATGAGATGCCCCTGGTACCTTTTTCATAGGCTTTTTTGAGTTTGGGCAAGGACACAGGGGCCCCATGATCCCCTATTGCCTGGGGGCCCCATGAGTTGTCAGTCCGCCCCTGGGCAGAAGTGATTCAAGTGTCTTAACAGCCACTTCTGTCGATGGTGCAAAGGGGTCCCCGCCACCTGAAACGGGCAGCGACACTACACAGTGACATTGTTCCTCCCTCTATGTGACCCCAGAAACGACGAGGATTGTGTTACTTCCGGTTTCTGCTCTTTGTTTACCTGGCCGTTTGGATGTGTTCCGGCTCATTTCTGTGCAGAAATTATTGCAGCAGCGTCTAACATATTTTCTCAAAGTACGGTGTACCGGGTCCATTTGAGTACCGGGAAAACGCTTTGCATGCATTTTTCATGATGAAAAAAGGCTCTGGACAGTATCTGGAACTGGAAGAGTTAAAAAAATATTCCAAACGAAAATGCTTATAAACACGGTTAGCCGTTGACATTTGAAACGTTGAGAAAATCTACTCCTGAACGCAAGTTTGGTGCGTTCAAAAAAACTACTGTAAACTGAACTGCCTGTAAATGAAGATGTGTACATGGACACATAGGAAAACATTAGGGAGAGTTCAGGGGCTGCTGAGAAAAATGCAGAAAAGTTCCTAAACGTGAGTTTATCAGCTGAAGTGTACATGGAGCCTTAATGGACAGATCCCTGCCTGTGGGTGTAAATATCAAAATGGCGGCACAACATTTTATTTTGACAAGGGAAGCAGGCACCTTTCCAGGACAACTACTGTAAGGAGATGTCCAGTCTGACATGCAATGATTACCGTATTTTTCACCGTATAAGACGCACTTTTTCTTCCCCAAAACTGGGGGGGAAATGTCAGTGCGTCTTATGGGGCGAATATGGAGCGGCCGGTCCGGTATTTCCACCGCGGCCGTGTCAGAATACCGGGCCGGCCGCTCAGCTCTGCAGTGGAACCTTACCTGTTCCTCTATCCAGCGGCGCGCTGTCTTCCCGGCTTCTGTAGTGTGGGCACTGGGCATGACAGCCGGGTGCCAAGTGCGCATGCGCAAGAAGCTGTGCTTTTTGTGAATGGTAAGGCGGTACCTGGGACACATGACAGATCCCAGAAGCCGCCGGACCAATCACAAAGCGCAAGTGCTTCTCGCTCATGCGCACTGGGCACTCGGCTGTCATGCCGAGCGCCATTACAGAAGCCGCGAAGACAGCGCGCGGCTGGATCGAGGAACAGGTAAGATCAAACAAAAACTCCACGGAAGTAAGAGCGGGTACCTGTCAAATTCAGGTACCCGCTCCCCACCTCCTCAAAGGTCAGCAGTCATCTGTACTGTCCGCAGTCTCTGGTCATCCCTGTGCTGTCCGCAGTCTCTGGTCATCTCCTGTGCTGTCCGCAGTCTCTGGTCATCTCCTGTGCTGTCCGCAGTCTCTGGTCATCTCCTGTGCTGTCCGCAGTCTCTGGTCATCTCCTGTGCTGTCCGCAGTCTCTGGTCATCTCCTGTGCTGTCCGCAGTCTCTGGTCATCTCCTCTACTATGTCCGCAGTCTCTGGTCATCTCCTGTACTGTCCGCAGTCTCTGGTCATCTCCTGTGCTGTCCGCAGTCTCTGGTCATCTCCTGTACTGTGTCCGCAGTCTCTGGTCATCTCCTCTACTGTGTCCGCAGTCTCTGGTCATCTCCTCTACTGTGTCCGCAGTCTCTGGTCATCTCCTGTGCTGTCCGCAGTCTCTGGTCATCTCCTGTGCTGTCCGCAGTCTCTGGTCATCTCCTGTGCTGTCCGCAGTCTCTGGTCATCTCCTCTACTATGTCCGCAGTCTCTGGTCATCTCCTGTACTGTGTCTGCAGTCCATTAGTTCAGAAATTTTTTTTTTTCCTGTTTTCTGCCTCTAAAACCTAGGTGCGTCTTATGGTCAGGTGCGTCTTATACGGCGAAAAATACGGTACATTCCTAAAAAAGGGATCAGTCAATCCCAGGGACTTGGTCTCCTTACAGACAACAATATTTCAAAACTCCACACCAGCAGAACTTTACCAGCAATGAATGTCAGGTAACAATGATCAGGCGCACTCACCCGAACAATGTGGAAGCCGCTTCTGCAGATGATGTCTTCGATCTCTTCTGCTTTGTGAAGCACATCCGGCTTAATGAGAGCTAAGGTCCTCTCCACATATATCCTGGGGGGCTCCATGGACAGTCCGGGCGATGGCTGGGAAGTGGTACTCATTACCTTCATAGAGGAAAAAAAGAGTACAGCTTAGCTTGATTACTGCCCTCCATGGTCTGCTGACCCTGATGAACAATGGTGGGAACTGGAGACCATGGAAATCAGCAGGAGCCACATAAACAAAGTCACAGTGCAGCAAGAAGCCCATTGGTCAGCAATAGAAAGCCAACTGGAGTTCTACATGAATCACTTTTCTTCCAGGACCATTTCTGAACACATTAAAATGCACATTTCAGGCCTGAAGATTGGCTAAACCCCCAAAGCTGAAAGCAAGGATCTTGGAGAATAAAATGGTGGTAGTCGCAATTTTATATGTCGTATGAGACCAGCATTCATGTTTATCAAATGCACATTTTCTGTAGAAAATACACTAAAGTCAATTTTACTGCAGATAAACACAATCAAGGCAGGAGGCAGGACCAGCACCCAGTCGTGGCCACTGTAACAGCAATCGCAGTAGTCATGTGATCAGGCCTTCTTGACCCCCAGGCATAAGAGCCCATTTGAAAGGATGCTGAAGCTGTGGGGGAAGGGGTTAAAGTAGAACTAAAGGTAAAAGGTATTTTGTTTTCATTTTGGATAGAGTTGGGCTAGGTTCACATCTATGTACAGTGGGGCAAAAAAGTATTTAGTCAGCCACCAATTGTACAAGTTCTCCCACTTACAAAGATGAGAGAGGCCTGTAATTGGCATCATAGGTAGACCTCAACTATGAGAGACAAAATGAGAAAACAAATCCAGACAATCACATTGGCTGATCTGGAAAGAATTTATTTGCAAATTATGGTGGAAAATAAGTATTTGGTCACCTACAAACAAGCAAGATTTCTGGCTCTCGCAGACCTGTACCTTCTTCTTTAAGAGGCTCCTCTGTCCTGCACTCTTTTACCTGTATCAATGGCACCTGTTTGAACTTGTTATCAGTATAAAAGACACCTGTCCACAACCTCCAACAGTCACACTCCAAACTCCACTCTGGTGAAGACCAAAGAGCTGTTGAAGGACACCAGAAACAAAATTGTAGACCTGCACCAGGCTGGGAAGACTGAATCTGCAATAGGCAAGCAGCTTGGTGTGAACAAATCAACTGTGGGAGCAATAATTAGAAAATGGAAGACATACAAGACCACTGATAATCTCCCTCGATCTGGGGCTCCACACAAGATCTCACCCCGTGGGGTCAAAATGATCACGAGAACGGTGAGCAAAAATCCCAGGACCACACGGGGGGACCTAGTGAATGACCTGCAGAGAGCTGGGACCAATGTAACAAAGGCTACCATCAGTAACACACTACGCCGCCAGGGACTCAGATCCTGCAGTGCCAGACATGTCCCCCTGCTTCACCACTTGCCTACCAGGCACTTATACCCCCTTATTTACCAGGCCAATTTTCAGCTTTCAGCGCTGCCGCACTTTGATTGACAATTGCGCGGTCATGCAACATTGTACTCATATGAAATTTTGATCATTTTTTTCTCACAAATAGAGCTTTCTTTTGGTGGTATTTAATCGGCACTGGGCGCTTTACTTTTTGCGCTATAAATTAAAAATTTCAAAAAATTTGAAAAAAAAAAAAAAAGTTTCTTTGTTTCTATTATAAAATTTTTCAAACAGGTATTTTTTCTCCTTCACTGATGTGCGTTGATGAGGCAGCACTGATGGGCACTGATAGGCGGCACTGATGGGCACTGATAGGCAGCACTAAAGGGCACTGATAGGCAGTACTAATGAGGTGGCACGGATAGGCGGCACTGATAGACAGCACTAATGAGGTGTCACGGATAGGCGGCACTAATATGCAGCACTGATAGGCAGTACTGATAGGTGACACTGATGATGGGTACTGATAGATGGCACTGACTGGCATCACTGCTGGGCACTGACTGGCGGCACTGACTGGCACAACCCCTGGGCACTGACTGGTGGCACTGACTGGCAGCACTGCTGGGCTGCACTGGTGGGCAGCACTGGTGGGCAGCACTGGTGGGTGGCACAGGTGGGTGGCACTGGTGGGCACAGGTGGGTGGCACAGGTGGGTGGCACTGCTGGGCACAGGTAGGTGGCACTTCTGGGCACAGGTGTGTGACACTGCAGAGTGGCACAGGTGGGTGCACTGCTGGGCACAGGTGGGTGATCTGCTGGGCACAGGTGGGCGGAGCTAGTGGGCGCACTGCTGGGCACAGGTGGGCGGAACTTGCGGGTGGCATTGCTGGGCACCGATCATCAGGGCACTGATCATCAGTGCCCTGATGATCGGTGCCGATCCCCCGCTCTGACAACTGCCGGTTCTCGGCAGTACTTTCCTCACGATCTGACAGCGTGAGGAAAGTGCAGCCGAGAACCGGCACTTGCATTTCCCTGTGATCAGCGTGTCATTGGACACCGCTGATCAGGTGGTAAAAGGCCGCTGTGATTGGCCTTTTACCACATCACGTGATCAGCTGTGTCCGTAGGACACAGCGATAACGGAGATCCCCGGGTGCACGCCCCCTGGGGCGCGCAGGAGAGCGCGTTCTGGGAGGACGTCATATGACGTCCACTCAGAACTGGCCGGCCGCAGTTTAGCCGTCATTCGGCTATCTGCGGTCGTCAACTAGTTAACCTCCTTGGCGGTATTCCCGAGTGTAGCTCGGGGTAACATTTCAGTACCACAAACGGTAACCCCGAGCTACACTCGGGAATATCATGCGGCACTGCTCCGGCATTTGTTCTTCACTTACCTTACCCTGCGCTCCCGCGATGTGTCCCCTGCAGCGTCCCCGGCCATCTCCTCTGGCCGATGCCGGCATCCGGCTTCTGTGTCCTGTCCCTGTGACGTCGGGACGTACGGGCGCCGCTGGCGGCGGGAAATTTAAAAATTTAAAAAAATGTCTTTTTTTTTTTTTTACATTTTACATAGTAAAACATTGCTGTCTCAACCAATTTCACATACATCTTGTCCCGAGTGCTTTGTCCTGTCCCCTGTCTGCATTTTTACTGTTCTTTCTGCCTGGAAACTGAGAAACGTCCATGGCGTCCAAAAAGTGTCCCTTTAGGTCAAAAGCGGTTTAGATCAGCTAGAGAACAGCGATAGTAAATCAGAACCACTTGCAGAATTGAGTGATAATGATTCGTGGGGGAAATTCCTCATCAGACACTGAAAACGATTCTGCGACTTTGCTCAGCAATGTGCGAACTTGGCGCTATATTTCACATTTCAGTGTTTTTGGTCTGATTATATTATTGAATTAAATGTATTATTATTATTTTTTATGATTATTTATTATATTATAATTTATGATTTCGTGTTTCAAATTTTATCCTCCCCGGGATGTTTACTAGACTCTTGTTCGGACAGATTTCAGTGAGTTATTCCTAAGAATTACAGGCCTACAATAAAAAAACTACATATTTCCATGCAAAAAAAATGGTACCGCTTTCAGCACCAAAAATCGGAAAGAATCATACCGCCAAGGAGGTTAAGCCAGTACATGTCCGGGCCCGTCTGAAGTTTGCTAGAGAGCATTTGGATGATCCAGAAGAGGATTGGGAGAATGTCATATGGTCAGGTGAAACCAAAATAGAACTGTTTGGTAGAAACACAACTCGTCGTGTTTGGAGGAGAGAGAATGCTGAGTTGCATCCAAAGAACACCATACCTACTGTGAAGCATGGGGGTGGCAACATCATTCTTTGGGGCTGTTTCTCTGCAAAGGGACCAGGACGACCGATCCATGTACAGGACAGAATGAATGGGCCCATGTATCGTGAGATTTTGAGTGCAAACCTCCTTCCATCAGCAAGGGCATTGAAGATGAAACGTGGCTGGGTCTTCCAACATGACAATGATCCCAAACATACCGCCCGGGCAACGAAGGAGTGGCTTCATAAGAAGCATTTCAAGGTCCTGGAGTGGCCTAGCCAGTCTCCAGATCTCAACCCCATAGAAAACTTTTGGAGGGAGTTGAAAGTCCGTGTTGCCCAGTGACAGCCCCAAAACATCACTGCTCTAGAGGAGATCTGCATGGAGGATGGGCCAACATACCAGCAACAGTGTGTGCCAACCTTGTGAAGACTTACAGGAAACGTCTGACCTCTGTCATTGCCAACAAAGGATATATAACAAAGTATTGAGATGAACTTTTGATATTGACCAAATACTTATTTTCCACCATAATTTGCAAATAAATTCTTTCCATATCAGCCAATGTGATTGTCTGGATTTTTTTCTCATTTTGTCTCTCATAGTTGAGGTCTACCTATGATGCCAATTACAGGCCTCTCTCATCTTTTTAAGTGGGAGAACTTGCACAATTGGTGGCTGACTAAATACTTTTTTGCCCCACTGTAGGTGGCGGTTGATGCATTTTTGCCGGTGAGTGTTGCAGTGCATTTTGCATTTTTGAACATGCATTTTTGATGTGTTTTGCTTTTCTTTTTTTTTTTTGACTAATAGGGAAGTATGACAGTTCTGTTCATGCAGTGCGACTTTGATGCGACTTTACACTCTCTGGCACTCAAATAGCATCAAAGTCAGACTGCATGAACAGAACTGTCATACTTTCCTATTAGCCAAACAATGCAACTTTGGACCCATAAAGGTTCCTGCACTAAATTGATGCGACTTTGGTGCTACTTGAGCCCTGGTTCACACCAGTGCGGCTTTGAAATTGCGCTACTTCAGTGTGATTTCCAAGCCGCAGATTAGTGCGTTTTGCACTTCCGATTTTATTGCAGCTTGAGACTTCGTTTAACAGAAGTCTATGAAAGTCGCAATTAAATCGGAAAGAAGTAATCCAGGAACCTCATTCGAAGTCACTGTGACATCAATCGCGACAGTTCGAATGATTCCGTTGCTGGCAATGGGGTGTGACTTGTCATGCGATTTGGAACTGTCAAATTGCATGACAAATCGCACTGGTGTGAATGAGGGCTGAGTCCCAGAGAATGCGAAGTCGCATCAAAATCACATTACATGAACAGAATTGCCATACTTTCCTATTAGCCAAAGAAAAAAAAAAACACATTAAAAATGTAATGCTTGTGTTTTTGGTGCAGATCCATTGAAGTCTATTACATGCAAAACGCAATCTGCTTCGGTATAAAAAAAAAAAAAATTCCCCGACTCTTTCCAAAGAACACACTACCATGCATTTCAGCAGATTCTCCATTGAACTCTATTGTAGCAAAAACGCTGCTTTTTACTTTTAAAAAAGTCCCTGACTCTCTGCAATATACGCACCGGCTCAAAATGCACAGATGTGAATTAGATCCATAGGAAGCAATGTTAAATGGACTAATGTGCGTTTCTGCAAAACACACTAAAAAAACTGCAGCAGCAGCTAAAAAACATGAGCTTTTTTTTTTCCATCTGTGTCTCAGTGAGTAGATTTCCCTTCCTGTCCCATAGTCAAAACAGGAAGTGAGAGGAAATCCCTGAAAATCTCTGAACTAGTGTCCCCATAGAAAGCTTTCCCCCCTCTATTCCTGTTCTGGGGACAACCCAAAATGTGGGATTTTCTTTCACTTTCGGTAATAACAGGACCCAGGACAAATAGAGAGGGTGACTCTCCCTGATGGGGACATAGACAGCAATGAAAACCTAATAGGTGTTGTAATCCCACTCCGCTGTCCAAACTATAAATGACATTTTGCCTTTAGTTATACTTTAAAGTGTTACTAAACCCCAGACCCTGCAATCACTATATCCGGTCTCCCCGGACCCTGCAATCACTATATCCGGTCTCCCGGACCCTGCAATCACTATATCCGGTCTCCCCGGACCCTGCAATCACTATATCCGGTCTCCCCGGACCCTGCAATCACTATATCCGGTCCCCCCGGACCCTGCATTCACTATATCTGGTCTCCCCGGACCCTGCATTCACTATATCTGGTCTCCCCGGACCCTGACATTCACTATATCTGGTCTCCCCGGACCCTGCATTCACTATATCTGGTCTCTCCGGACCCTGCATTCACTATATCCGGTCTCCCCCCGGACCATGCATTCACTATATCCGGTCTCCCCGGACCCTGCATTCACTATATCCGGTCTCCCCGGACCCTGCATTCACTATATCCGGTCTCCCCGGACCCTGCATTCACTATATCCGGTCTCCCCGGACCCTGCATTCACTATATCCGCTCTCCCCGGACCCTGCATTCACTATATATCCGCTCTCCCTGGACCCTGCATTCACTATATCCGCTCTCCGCCCCCGGACCCTGCATTCACTATATCCAGTCTCCCCGGACCCTGCATTCACTATATCCAGTCTCCCCGGACCCTGCATTCACTATATATCTGGTCTCCCCGAACCCCGCATTCACTCTATATCTGGTCTCCCCGGACCCCGCATTCACTATATCCGCTCTCCCCGGACCCCTCATTCACTATATCAGCTCTCCCCGGACCCTGCATTCACTATATCCGGTCTCCCCGGACCCTGCATTCACTATATCCGGTCTCCCCGGACCCTGCATTCCCTATATCCGGTCTCCCCGGACCCTGCATTCACTATATTCGCTCTCCCCCGGACCCCGCATTGACTATATCCGCTCTGCCCGGACCCCCGCGTTCACTATATCCGGTCTCCCCGCACCCTGCGTTCACTATATATCCGCTCTCCCCCCTGCATTCACCCTGCGTTCACTATATCTGGTCTCCCCCCTGGACCCTGCATTCACTATATCTGGTCTTCCCGGACCCTGCATTCATTATATCTGGTCTCCCTGGACCCAGCATTCACTATATCCGCTCTCCCAGGACCCCCTGCATTCACTATATCTGGTCTCCCCAGACCCTGCATTCACTATATCTGGTCTCCCAGGACCCTGCATTCACTATATCTGGTCTCCCCAGACCCTGCATTCACTATATCTGGTCTCCCAGGACCCTGCATTCACTATATCTGGTCTCCCAGGACCCTGCATTCACTATATCTGGTCTCCCTGGACCCTGCATTCACTATATCCGCTCTCCCAGGACCCCGCATTCACTATATCAGGTCTCCCAGGACCCTGCATTCACTATAACCGCTCTCCCCGGAACCTGGATTCATTATATCTGGTCTCCACGGACCCTGCATTCACTATATCTGGTCTCCCACAGTACACACAACATGGAAATGCAATTATTTTAGTAAATATAAACTGCTAAATGTATTTTCTTATTATCAGTATATAGCAGTCTTGTGACTTCAGCAGAGCACTTTTTAAAGCTTGTAGGAGGATGCAGAACCCCTGACCTCTGCCTGGCCAGTGCTGATTGGCCTTGTACTGATCATATGCACTCTATCAAGAAAAAAAAAAACCTCTCTAGCAATACACACCAAATTGAGCATGTGCATGTGGCTATGGGTTCAGTCTGTCTTGTCAGGTGCACATATGAACAAGAGGAGGATCAGAGAAGACAGGATCAAACAGCCTTTTTACACAATGCAGAGGATTAACCCCTTAGGTTCCACAGTGAGTATAACAAGCATGCTTTACTGCATCTACAGACTGATTGTACTGTTGTGGGTTTAGTAACACTTTAATTCTGGATTTTGTAGGAAAGTGTTAGAAACCCCATCAGGTTTTGATTGCTGTCTGTGTCCCTCACATGATGGGAAATCTCTCCAATGGGGACACAGACAAAATCACATTGATAGTAGAGGAGGAACAAAGAGGGACACAGACAGGAACACATTTGAAAGCACATTATATTGTTATTATACAGGATTTATATAGCGCCAACAGTGTGCGCAGCACTTTACAATATAAAGGCGATCATTACAATTACAATACAATTTGGTACAAGAGGACACAGAGGGCCCGGCTCATTAGAGCTTACAATCTAGGAGGAAGGGTTGAGGGATACAAAAGGTAATAGCTGTGGGGGGGATGAGCTGATGGAGGAAATAAATGGCAGTTTACTATTTAGAAGCCGGATAGGCATCTTTAAAGGGAAGGGTTTTCAGGAATCGTCCAAAGGCAGATAGATTAGGAGAGAGTCAGACAGATTGGGGTAGGGAGTTCCATAGGATGGGAGAAGCTCGGGAGAAGTCCTGGAGGCGAGCATGGGAGGAGATGGAATGGGAACTAGAGAGCAGAAGGTCTTGGGAGGATCCAAGAGAGTGGTTTGGTTGATATTTTGAGACCAGGTTGGTGATGTAGCTGGCAGCAGAGTTGTGGATGGCTTTGTTGTTGGTATTTTTCATTTTATTTGCTGGGTGAGTGGAAGCCAGTGGAGGGATTGGTAGAGAGGGGTGGAGGACACTGAGTGGAGGCCAGTGGAGGGATTGGCAGAGAGGGGTGGAGGACACTGAGGGGAGGCCAGTGGAGGGATTGGCAGAGAGGGGTGGAGGACACTGAGTGGAGGGATTGGCAGAGAGGGGTGGAGGACACTGAGTGGAGGCCAGTGGAGGGATTGGCAGAGAGGGGTGGAGTACACTGAGTGGAGGCCTGTGGAGGGATTGGCAGAGAGGGGTGGAGGACACTGAGTGGAGGCCTGTGGAGGGATTGGGAGAAAGGGATGGAGGACACTGAGTGGAAGCCAGTTGAGGGATTGGAAGAGAGGGGTGGAGGACATCGAGTGAAGGCCAGTGGAGGGATGGAGGACACTGAATGGAAATCAGTGGGGGATTGCCAGAGAGGGGTGGAGGACACGGAGTGGAAGCCAGTGGAGGGATTGGCAGAGAGGGGTGGAGGACATGGAGTAGAGGCCAGTGGAGGGATTGGCAGAGAGGGGTGGACATTGAATGGAGGTCAGTGGAGGGATTGACAGAGAAGGGTGGAGGTCAGTGAATGGAGGCCAATGGAAGGATTGGCAGAGAGGGGTGGAGGACAGTGAATGGAGGCCAGTGAAGGGATTGGCAGAGAGGGGTGGAGAACACTGAATGAAGGCCAGTGGAGGGATTGGCAGAGAGGGGTGGAGGACACTGAATGGAGGCCAGTGGAGGGATTGGCAGAGAGGGGTGGAGGTCAGTGAATGGAGGCCAATGGAGGGATTGGCAGAGAGGGGTGGAGGTCAGTGAATGGAGGCCAGTGGAGGGAGTGGCAGAGAGGGGTGGAGAACACTGAATGGAGGTCAGTGGAGGGGTTGGCAGAGAGGGGTAGCAGACACTGAACGGTTGGTAAGGTGGATGAGCCTGGCAGCAGTATCCATGATGGACTGGAGGGGGAGTGGCCTGTGTAAAGGTAAACCAATGAGGAGGGAGTAGCAGTCGTCGAGGCGAGAGATGAATTAGTGAATTAGGAGCTTTGTGGTGTCATTGGTTACAAGGGGCATATTGTGGAGATATTTCGGAGGCTGAGGTGGCAGGATTTGGACAGGGATTGGAGTAGGGACAATAAATGTTTGTAGTGTGGAAGTGACACCAGCGGGGTGAAAATTGCTGTACTTCCTCTATTATGTGTAATTCCTGTATCCTCAGCGCCACCTAGTGGCCACAATACATTTTTTTTTCCTGATTGAGATATTTGGATATCTGGTAGGTTGTGTACCTTATCCAGTGCAGAAAATGCAGCAAAGGATCTTATGTTGGTGAAACAGGACAGAAGTTGCAAACAAGGATGAATTTGCACAGACACACCATCAAGGAACATAAAGAAGGTGACCTCTGCACACCTGTGGGACACCATGTCACACAACCGGACCACACAATGGGAGACCTCAATATTTTAGTTCTGAAAGGAAAATTCAAATCCATTCAGGAAAGAAAAACATTTGAACTAAGAATTATAATTCTATTTGACACAAGAGATAACGGCCTTAACTTGGACCTGGGATTCCTCAATCATTATCTGACAGCTTTATGACTATCTATTAGCTGTAGCTTGACCCCCTCTGTGTGAGTGTAGTATCCCCCCCTCCCCCCCCCATGTATCTTATCTGTAGCCTTTTTTTTTTTTTTCTCAATCCCTTCTAACATTCTGCTTAAACTTTGTGATTTGTATAGTACTGCTTAGACCTTGAAGAAGGGGACACTCCCCGAACTTGTCCTCAAAATTGTATGTTAGTGCAAATAAAAAAAGTATCCCGGACAGTACTCAAGATATCTGGAACAAAACGGCAACATGTGATGTCCACTAGGTGGGGCTGAGGATACAGGGATCACACAATGGAGGTGGATGGGGGACTTGGATGGAGATCTCCAACTCTGAGCGCCTTCAATGTGATCTGTAACTTACCTCAGTGTCTACCCCGGCTGGCCCCCCCCTTCAATGTCTACCCCCCTCCCCCACTATGGAAACATGACGGCAACCCTCCTAACTGTACGCAGTAGGCAACCTCCCCTCCCCCATCACAACTTACCTCTGATACCTTGACCTACCTGTGGTGCAGTCTGACATCTACACTCGCTACTTCTAGTATGGGTGTCACTGGGACAGGAAGTGAGGAAGAATCGCCCCAATGGGGGACACAGACAGAAACACATTTTTTTTTTTTTTACACAGTAAAAGAAATATATATTTTTTTTCATAAAGTCGGAGAGGGTTAAAACTCCTGTTTAGTGGCTGTCTGTGCCTTCCCTGTCCCGGTGACAACTGCATTCCCTATTTCTTGTATGGGTGTCATGGGGACAGGAAGTGAGAGGGAATTATCCCTATGGGGGTCACAGAGAGAGATAGTAAAGTGAGAGAGGGTAACAACCACCCTAATGGGGGTCACAGCCAGAAACAAACACATCTCATAATTTGTCATTGCTTGTCACTGTAGACACAACAAAAAAGAAACTATCGGCTGGAAAATGAAATCTCTATATTATGGGAACGACATTGCTGGCCTCTCGCTGGCTGTGTTATCACCCCTGACCCGGGACAGTCATAGAAATGAGAGCGGACCCTGCGCAGGCTACGTGTACATACATACAGCGGTGACCGGCCTCTCGGGCGGCTTTTCTGGACACTAGGGCTCCTGTGCAGACTTCTGTTTACATGTCCCGTTGCTAGGAGACCGGCCCGGCTTTCTGTACGAGAACCAGCGAGGCTCTAAAAACGACTATCGCGGCGGCGCGCCACCTGGCGGGACGGAGGATGAATGACGTGCTCCGAGCGTAAAGGAACAGTACCCTCTACCTCAGTCTAAGCACACCAAGTTTTCGTAAGGTCGCTCCAACCAATCAGAAACTCTTTTTCTTTTTTTCGCCACGCCCACACGCATAGGCCGTATCCAGGCACCAAGTGGAGTCTCCGCCCCGATGGCTCGAGGGGGGTGACGTCAGGGCCGTGCTACAGTCTGTCAGTTGCGTTTGGGTGATGGAGGTGTCACGTGATTGGGGTGACGCAGCTGTCTGCAGCGACGTGGAGTGATGGCGGCTGTGATCCAGTGAGAGGAGAGAGAGAGCGGGAGAGACGGTGAGAGCGAGGGGGAGGGGCACCTACCTACCTACCTACCTATGTATACCGACACCTACCTCCTCCTCACTGTATATCGACACCTACCTCTTCACCGTATACCGACACCTATCTCTTTCTGCTCACCACCGTATACCGACAGCTACCTCCTCCTCACTGTATATCGACACCTACCTCCTCCTCACTGTATATCGACACCTACCTCCTCCTCACTGTATATCGACACCTACCTCCTCCTCACTGTATATCGACACCTACCTCTTCCTCCTCACTGTATACCAACACTTACCTATGTATACCGACACCTACCTCCTCCTCACCGTATACCAACACCTCTTTTTGCTCACCACCGTATACCGACACCTACCTCTGTATACCGACACCTACCTCTGTATACCGACACCTACCTCTGTATACCGACACCTACCTCTGTATACCGACACCTACCTCTGTATACCGACACCTACCTCAATACCGACACCACCTCTTCACGGTATAGCAACACCTACTGCGATATACCGACACCTACCTCTTACCGCTGTATACCCACACCCACCTCTGTATACTGACACCTACCTCTCCCTCCTCACTGTATGCCGACACCTACCGCTATATACCGACACCTACCGCTATATACCGACACCTACGCTATATACCGACACCTACCGCTATATACCGACACCTACCGCTATATACCGACACCTACCGCTATATACCGACACCTACCGCTATATACCGACACCTACCGCTATATACCGACACCTACCTCTCCCTCCTCACTGTAGACCGACTCCTACCTCCTACCACTGTATACTGACGCCTACCTTCTCCTCACCATATACCGACTTCTACCTCCATATACTGATAACTACCTCCCCCTTCTCACTGCATACCAATACCTACCGCTGCATACCGACAACTACCTCTCACTCCTCACCTTAAACCAACGCCTACCTTTCCCCCCCCCCCCCCCCCCCTCGCCGTGGACCGATGCCTACCTCCCCCCCCCTCGCCGTGGACCGATGCCTACCTCCCCCCCCTCGCCGTGGACCGATGCCTACCTCCCCCCCCTCGCCGTGGACCGATGCCTACCTCCCCCCCCCCCTCGCCGTGGACCGATGCCTACCTCCCCCCCCCCCTCGCCGTGGACCGATGCACCTCCCCCCCCCCCCTCGCCGTGGACCGATGCCTACCTCCCCCCCCCTCGCCGTGGACCGATGCCTACCTCCCCCCCCCCTCGCCGTGGACCGATGCCTACCTCCCCCCCCCCCTCGCCGTGGACCGATGCCTACCTCCCCCCCCCCCTCGCCGTGGACCGACGCCTACCTCTTCCCCCCCCCCTCCTCGCCGTGGACTGATGCCTACCTCTTCCCCCCCCCCCCCCCCCCCGCCTCGCCGTGGACCGACGCATACCTCTCCCCCCCCCCCCTCGCCGTGGACCGACGCATACCTCTCCCCCCCCCCCCCCTCGCCGTGGACCGGCGCCTACCTCCTGACTGCCCTGCGTACACTGACAATCTTTGAGACCTCTTGTACGGTTCTCCTGTCCTGTGTATATCCGTGAATGGAACATCCTGCCTGATATCAGTATTGTACACTCGGCTCTGTCCCAGCACAGATCACTATGGGGGCAGTGACCCAATAATGGGCTCTGTAGGGTGTTTGTGGGCTTGTGTCCATCATCTGTTAGACGCTTGTGACATTATTCAGAGTTCATTGAACGGTGCATTCACCTGCAGATGACCCCCTGACCTGCATTAAGCTGCTTTTTCTTTCCCATAGAGGTGTATCGGGGGAGAAGCAGTTCTGATGTGCACAGCAGTCTCCGGACCGCTAACCCTTCTCAGACAATGTCAGCTGGCAAAGTTCATAACACTGGAGGCATTGCATGCATTTCTTGGTCATGTGATCAGTGTTGTTGGCTTGATCACATGATGGGGAATCCACCTCCAATTGTAGACAGTGGCCAGCAGCTGTCAGTGACCGAATGAGCCGCGTGTACACATATATGTGGTGGCTTGGTGTTAAGGACCACTGCTGTGCTGACATATACATGCGTATGGCCAGCGTTACGGGGTTACTGAACCTGCGCCGGGAAGTCTGTTCATTTGTAATGGGCCGCCATTGCACTGCAACAAAGCATTGTATACAAAGCAGTGCACAGCAACACGAGATGATTCACATTTCTGTGTTGTATGGAGCTAAACACAAGTACATTGTGCTACACTTCCTCCGAATGAATGACTGTGACCCACCACGGCGTGTTTTATATATTGTGGAAAAACATGGATCCTAGTGAGCGTTATCACAGCATTATGAATGGGTCCTGAAACAGGAACTTAAGTCTCAACAAAAATGTTTCTAATGGAAAAATGATGAACCGACATTAACTATCCTGGCCACCTGTCCGGACCCCGCTGTACATAGCGGCCATGATGCCTCTTGTGGCCAGTGTAGCAGTCCTCACTGTGCAGTGGGATACTCATCCTTGGGGTGAGGTTTCATCATACTGCTCAAAATGGGAAGCACAGTGAACTAGATCCATAGGAAACCATGTTAAATGGGCTGCAGTGCATTGCTGCAAACTGGAAATGCACTGAAATCTGCGTGTGTAATGAAACTGACCTGTCTGTGCTTGGGTACTTTCGTTAGACTACCGATTCCCCGTCCGACACTGACCACAGACACCACCGCTGACCATACAAGACAAGACGACACCAGTCTGAACATGGAACTCTTTATTTGAAACTCCAACTGGCTTTTTATACACTCGGGGGACAGTCCCCTTTCCCTGCATAATGACGCAGGGCGGGGCAATCTATACTTGGCAACAAGAGACACACAGGTATTTAAACTTCACACCAGCAGACAGTCCCATCAGGAGGGAGGGCTGCTGGAGACCCCCCCCCCCCCACTAAACGAATACACATAAACAAATACAATAGAACAATGGGATTCAACTACATGGCATTAAATAATCAACA